TTTCTTTCCTTTTTTTCCCCCCAGTTAGTAATATATTATAGGTCAGCACAGAATGATTAGCAGATATGATGATAGTGGAATTAAATTATTTTCTTATGGCCTTCATAAGTAATTGCTTCTCTAAGGATGACTTTTTAATGAAGTCTTTCATCTCTGCATATACTTTGTTTCTAGAGTTTCCCAATGCAACCTGCTCTTCTCAGAAACCTCACCCACTCCATATGGATGTCTCATTCAATCACATCTTTAACTCTGCTCTCTCTCTTGAGCCTCTTTTTTCTCTGTAGGGGTCCACTGAAAATCTCTACATACGTCAGCTGATGGCTTCATGAGCATTTAGCTCACAGGACAGTGAGGGCTTTTATTCTCATTCTCTCACCGACTAGCTACATGTTCTTAGACAATTACTTAATCTGTCAGAACTTCAGGTGGAGAGGATGATAACTTCTTCAAGAGAAGAGACCAAACTAGATAATTTCTCCAGGTTTTAGATTTTAAGTCTAAAACCAAATTCATTATCTTCCTTTTGTAACTGTTTCCCCTATTGAAATATTCCTTCCTTTCATCTTCAGATGACAGAATGATAGAAACAATGTAATTTTAGGACTGGAAAGCATATTAGACATCCTCTAGCTCAATTCCTTCTCTTTATTGTAACGGATGAGGAAATACATAGATTCATTCAATCCTTCCAATTCTTTAACCCTCTCAGTAACTGAGTCCCATCAGCTTTTTTTGGTAATGTTCCTCAGGCCTATTCCATTCTTTTCACTGCCATAATCCTAGAGTAGTTCTTCACTTCCTTACGTCTTGGTTCTTCCCAAAATCACCACATTTTTTCTTGCCTTCAGTCTCTCTTTCAACTAATCCTGGAAAAGCATTCAGATTACATATCCAAAAATAGCTGATCATTAAAACATGTTTCTGTGAGGGCCGGTCTGTGGCTCACTCGGGAGAGCGTGGTGCTGACAACACCAAATCAAAGGTTAAGATCCCCTTACTGGTCATGTTTAAAAAAAAAAAAAATGCTCCTGTGAAAAAATATTTCATGGTCAAATAATTAGATTCAAACTCTAAGACTAACGTAAGAAACTTTCTACAGGTCACCTTTCCAGGCTTATCTTGCAGTATTATCTGTATTAGTCAAAGCTCAATAAGTATTTATTTAATTGAATTAATCTTCATACTTTCTAAACAGAAATCCTTTTAGCCTTGAAATAATTGAGATGTTCAGAAGATAGAAAGAAAGAGAGAGAGAGAAAGAAAGAAAGAAAAAGAAAGAAAGAGAGAGAAAGAAAAGAAAGAAGAAAGAAAAAAAACAGGCTAGGGATGGGAGAAGGAAGGAGCCATATTCAAGGGAAACAAAGCAAGCCAGTAAAAGTGAAGAAACTGGTAACATTAAGGTCACAGGTTTGGATCCCCAAACCAGCCAGCTGCCAAAAAAAATAAAAAGACAGAACAAAGAAATGAAGAGAACAGGAACAAAATAATTCATGCCTTTTCTATAGTTTCAATTTTTGCTTATTTCTCCTGCCAAGTTTCAATTCCTTTAACCTACCTTAGCTTACTATGATTTTTCTTTTTTTTTTTTTTTGTCTTTTGTCTTTTTCTGTGTCCGGCAACGGATCGCAACCCTCAGTGTTGCCCCCGCACCGGACCGGGAGCGCCACCACGCTTCCCAAGAGGCGCACTTATCCAGTGCGCCACCGGGCAGGCCCGTGATTTTTCTTAGCCATATAGTTTTGTATCTTTGCACTAATACTGCCAAGATGACACTAAGGTCACAGGTTCAGATCCCCTTACTGGCCAGCAGCAAAAAAAATTTTTTTTAATTAAAAATAAAACTGCAGAGATGATAGGAAGACGTTTAAGTTGCCAGACAGAAAAGTTAAACACACAAAGCAAAACAGAGGGTTATAAGGGACAACTGCTTGAGAGATAAGTGAGATCAGATTATAAATATTTTTTAAGTTGAAATAAATTTTATTCCTAAAGGCTAATTCAATTACAGGGTTTCTTCAGGTTTCAAAGCGGAGCACTATATTTGGGATACCTTTATTTCAAGCAGCTCTGGAAGTTTTCCACCAGTAAAACCTGTTTCCTCTCGGTATACTGAGGGGATATGCATGTAGTTCTCCCCAACATAGAATTACATCAGTCACGTACAGGGCCCTTATTCTAAATCAAGTACAGGGCTAAAGCTTTACAGACACTTTAATCTCTTTTGTTAGGAAGGTCAAGGTCACACTGCCTTGGGAAAGGTGGAAGGCAGGATTTTGACCCAGGTCTAAGTCCTTGCTTCTAAAGGACTAGGCTAACCAAGAGGGGAACGGACGGATGACACGAGGCTAGAGTTAGGCGGAAAGATGAGAAACGCCTGTTCCTGAGCTTAGCGAGAGGAAAGCAAGACTGGTGCGGTCTTTTACTGTGACAGGTCAACTTGCTTGCTCTGTGTCAAACCTTGTTTTTATAGATGAGACTGGATGTAATTTTTTAAAAAACTTTCCTTGCCGTGGCTCCTGTTATTTTTAAATAATGCTTTACAAAGCATATTTTCCTTCCGTTTAAAAAAGATTAGGATGAAATAAAACTTTATAAGCCGTTTTGATTATTTTGGCTTTCCCTTTGTTAGCAGATATTGCCTTTATAATAAAAAACATTAAAAGAATCTTCATGGGAAGGGGCAGATTACTTTTCAAAGTTTTCTTTTAATTTTCAACTAATTAAAAGTTAAACCATGGCATTGCTACAACTATTTGGCCATCACCCTGAGACAAATGAAGAGCTCTCCCTTCACTATTGAGAACCATTTAAGATCAAACTAAATTAAATTCAACTCCTCTTAATTATTTGGTATGAAACAAAAACTGATAACTTCAACACATCCCATGTCTCTATTTTAGTTGTAGGATCTTTAATACCAAGTATGTTTGAAGGACTAACACAGGACAATGAACTTTATTTACTTTGTTGCCATTCTTCTTCTTATTATTAGGATTACAGGTCTAAATAGCAATGGCCACTGTTTCTTGAGGGCCTACTTTGGGTTAAGCTGTGTCCGTAATATCCTGTCCACACAGTATCACTCTCAGGAGGTTTTACTCTCATTTTACAGTTGAAGAAACAAAGGTTCAGGGAGGCTACCTCACTTACTCAAGGAGCTGATAAGGACCAGAATCTGATTCTTTTCACTGAGCTACTGCTAGTTTAGTTAAAACGGTTGGCTAAAAAAATTACTGGAATACATTGATATGCTATGTGGTACAAATAAGGGGTTGTGAACAGTATGCATTATAAATACTCCAGGCAAAAACAGAGGGGGTCGGCCCGGTGGCGCACTGCTACAGTGCACCGCTTGGGAGCGGGGCGGCATTCCCGCCGAGGGTTCGGATCCCACATACAGACCGGTTCCCGCTCACTGGCTGAGCGAGGGGCGGGCGCAGCACCAAGGGTTGCGATCCCGTTGCCGGTCCTGGTCCGATACGGGCGCGACACTGAGGGTTGCGGTCCGTTGCCGGACATGAAAAAAAGACAAAAAAAAAAAAAAAAAACAGAGGGAATTTTTGAAAAACATCAGAAACTAGTTTATCATTTCCTTCTTTAGCACTGCCTTTCCAAGTCCACAGTTCTAAGGGCTTCAAATGTTTAACACATTTAAATAAAAAAGAAAAGAAAACAAACAAAAAAATGTTTAACACCTTTATTCAATTGTTTACCAGCTCCTCACTTCAGGTATGGGCATTTGTACAAACCAGTAGCTTTCCCAGGATATAATTTAATGCTTATTTGTTAAACTTCAAGTATGTGAGTATTGTAGGTTTTGTGTATATTGACCACTCCTATCTAATCCTGGTAGAAAAATACTTGTCCTAATCCAGATTAAAAGTAAGGTTTTTTAAATGGTTTGGTTTATACCAAGGTAGCACGGAGAAAATTCTCTTACACACCCCCATGTATCAATTGGTGATATCTGGGCTGCCATCTGCGTTTTTCTAATGTGATGTGGGTGTTAGAGAACTTCATCTGGGCATTGTAAACTTCAGGAAGCATGAGCTTATTAACTTTCTCTCTTACATAATGCCACCTTAGAGGGTAAGCCCAGAATAATCACTTAGAAGTTGGCAATTGTCATCATATTAATTTCCAGTTACTAGTAAAAGCTGATTAGTTTTAGAGTTATCCAGACCTCATTTTCATTGTGTCCCTGTCAGCAAGAAAGGTGTCTGGTAATTACTGTAACGTTAGCATAAAGAATTTTTTCCTTGCCTTAGCATTTTCCGAACATCTTTAGGACATTTTATAACACATTCGGTGTCCTTTAACATTTTACGAACGTCTTTAGAACATTTTAGGATACATTTCGTGTTCTTGGGCCTGTTACTATAGTGAAAAAATTGAAATACTTTATCATACAGAAAAAAAATTTCGGTCCATGAACCAGATAGTGCCTGAAAGAGAACATTGATCCATAAAAGGGTTAGTAAAAGGTTTATTTAAGAGTAATTTGTTATTTTAGTCATTTATTTAAAAAAGGGTTTTTAGTGTCTGCTGTGTGCCAGGTACTGTGCTAGATGTTGGAAACTGACAGTGAGAAAAACATGCTATTCCTTGCTTCTGTGGCATTTAAAGTCTAGTGAAGGAGACAGATGTAAACCAAACAGTCACTCTAGTGCATAGTATAATTACAAACTAAGAAAAGTGGCCTAAACGTAAGGAACGTGATTCTATTTGAGAAAGAATTGTGGCCTAGCTATGGTTAGAGATGCCTTACCTGATAAAGTGAGTCCTGAACTGTATGATTTGGAGGATAAGTATGTGTTAATTATGTGGAGAGTGGTACACAGGGACTATGGGCCAGTGTGTGTGGCTGGTATAAAAGGAACTAAGGTGAATTGGTGGGATGCCATCATTTTTCTTTGTTTCTATTACAAGAAAAGTTAAATTTAACTTTGGTTAAGTGACAACTCTGTGCCAGCTGTGATTATAAGGACCTTACTTAAATAACCTCAAGTTCCTATAAGGTAGGTACTATTATTGCCATTCTACAGATTAAGAAAGTAAGGCCCAGAAAAGTTAAAGTTATTGGTTCAAAGTTGGTAAGTGCTCTACTATATTCTTCTTTCTATCCTATACTCAAGTATGACCACAGGCTTGAAAGGACCCTCTGGTCCCAGTGTGACTGCTTGAGGTAGCCCTGAGAACTTCTGAAATTTTCAGCACGTTTGGATACAGGTGGGTATTCAGCAGAGACTCTGTGGGCCCCATGCTCTTATCCAGTCAGTGGTGCCTGATTGTGGATCACCGGAGAACTGCACAGAGCATCAGTGCAGCTGTAATATCTGTGGATCTCAATTTACTCATGCCTGATACTGAATATAGAACAACAATGTAAATGTTTAGCTGACCTATCTTTGACAGTAAAGAGGTTGTTTTTAGCAACCTCCCACTTTTTTTTCATTGTATTTTTCCCTGGTGGTAGCCATTCAATAAGTAAATCAGTCTAGGTTTGCCAATGTATCATTTCAATTAGAATTTTTATTGACTTTGACCCTGAATCTTTCTTACTTTCTTTCCAGAAATCTGGTTGGAGTTGGCAAGTGAGAGAAAATGAATTCTTTTTCTCATTTACCTGCAGAGAATTTAACTGCTGCAGTTAATATGACCAAGACTTTGCCTACAACAGTAATTCATGGATTTAATTCCACCAATGATGCACCTTCAATGGCAATAACAAGGCTTTTTCCAGCCTTACTAGAATGCTTTGGCATAGTCCTTTGTGGCTATATAGCAGGAAGGGCCAACATCATAACATCAACACAGGCCAAAGGACTGGGAAATTTTGTCTCTAGATTTGCACTTCCAGCTTTATTATTCAAAAACATGGTTATACTTAATTTTTCCAACGTGGATTGGTCTTTCCTATATAGTATCTTAATTTCCAAAGCTTCTGTATTTTTTATTGTATGTGTATTAACCTTATTGGTTGCCAGTCCTGACAGTCGATTTAGCAAAGCTGGACTATTCCCTATTTTTGCTACACAGAGTAATGACTTTGCATTGGGATACCCTATAGGTAAGTTATTTTTTATTTTTCAAGTTTTAAAAAAATTCAGGTGTTGTAGGAACTAATAAAATATTAGCTTTTAATTCACCTAAGCATTTGTTAGTGACAGATTCTTACTCTTGTGTCTAAGAAATCTTTCATATTTATTTCATAAATTTGTCTTAAATTGAGATGAATTATATTTTTTCCTCAACTTCAGAGTTTGAGGATCCTTTAAACGTCTACCTAAAATAAATGGTCATATCCTAATAACTTTTGTGAATAGCCTTTCTAATAGTATTCTTTTCTTCTCAATAATCACATAGGAAAGAAGTTTGGTTTCCAGAAGAGATCAGATTCTGATTTAAATTATGTAAAAAAGATACGCTTATGTCTGTATAAAAAGAGTCTCTATTACATGTTAGTGGTCGGAATTTATGAATGGTTTTTTCCTCCCTTATTTTTCTTACCATTTAGAATATATATTTTACATTAAAAATTGTTTTGAGCTTGTTATTCAAAAATTCGGTGTATTTTCATTGAACTTAATTTCTTGTTTAAGAACAAAAATGGTGAGGTCTTTTTTCCTTTCCAACTTTTCCTTTTTTATCTTTCCAACTCTTTAAGCAGCCTAATTTTATGTTTTTTTTTTTTTTTTGTCTTTTTTCCGTGTCTGGCGTGTCCGGCAACGGATCGCAACCCTCAGTGTTGCCCCCGTACCGGACCGGGAACCGGCAACGGGATTGCAACCCTCAGTGTTGCTCCCACGCCTCGCTCAGCCAGTGAGCGGGAACCGGTCTGCATGTGGGATCCGAACCCGCGGGCGGGAGCGCCACCGCGCTTCCCAAGTGGCGCACTATCCAGTGCGCGCCTCGCTCAGCCAGTGAGCGGGAACCGGTCTGCATGTGGGATCCGAACCCGCGGGCGGGAGCGCCACCGCGCTTCCCAAGTGGCGCACTATCCAGTGCGCGCCTCGCTCAGCCAGTGAGCGGGAACCGGTCTGCATGTGGGATCCGAACCCGCGGGCGGGAGCGCCACCGCGCTTCCCAAGTGGCGCACTATCCAGTGCGCCACCGGGCCGGCCCCCTAATTTTATGTTTTAAGGGTGTGTTTTTCTAATGAAACAGTAAATATACTAATTTGAAATGTTGGGATATCTTGAAAGGAAACACATTCTATTTTTAAGAACACTCTGCCACTAAGAAAATGTATACCTAGTAACTGCTTTTCTATATTTATAAATTAAAGTTATGTGTACTTTGATCTTACATCGTAATGTGAGGATCTGAATATTATGTACATATTTATTCATTCACTCATTCATAGGGAACTGTTATGTATAGTGACTGTGCTAGCTGCTGGAAATACACCTGTAAACAAAACTCTTGCACATATTGAATTTACATTTTATGGGAAAAAAGATAGTAAAATTGAAATCATATCAGGTGGTGACAAGGGCCATACAAATAATGTAGTGTAGAGAGATAGGAATGAAGAGATGCTATTTGAGGTAGGGTGTCAGTGAAGACCTCTCTGATGATATGTCTTCTGAGCAGAAACTTGAATGGAACTTATTAAAGGGTACAATTGGAATCTACCATTAACCTTCAAGTTTCTTATACAGTAGTTTTGTCCTCTCCCCCCATGCTCAATTTATTTCACAACTGATTCACAAAAAGATTCTGGTGAAGTATACTTTTCACCTTTCTCCTCCTTTGACCTTCTTTTCTTCCATCTTGCTTACCAGAAATAGAGAAATACTTAAGAAATCACATAATTATGAGTAAAGCAGGAGGTTTAAGAGAGGAAAAACTACGTAGATAACCGAGCTGTAAATAGTCAGAAACTAGACAGGTGTTTCTTTAAAGTTACTGAATTTTAAAATGAAATAAAGACTTTTTTTTTTTTTTTTCCTTTTTTCGTGTCCGGCAACGGATCGCAAACCTCAGTGTCGCGCCCGTACCGGACCGGGACCGGCAACGGGATCGCAGCCCTCGGTGTTGCGCCCGCACCTCGCTCAGCCAGTGAGCGGGAACCGGTCTGTATGTGGGATCCGAACCCTCGGCGGGAGCGCCACCACACTCCCAAGCGGCGCACTGTAGCAGTGCGCCACCGGGCTGGCCCTGAAATAAAGACTTTTGGAAATAAAAGAGCAAGGAGTTAGAGTTAATTGTTCATTTCCTCAGGAGCATTAATAATGTGAATTTGTCAAGGAATTTATGATATAAGGACCTTAGAAGTGTCCCAGTACCACAGTATTAAATATTTAATTAATATTGCTTTATCTTACTTTAGACATGAATTAGAAGTATACATTTTCTTGCTCTCATAGAACTATGTAACTACACAGAGATAACATTTGTAACTTTATAGTTTACAGAGTAGTTTCTTCTTTTTTGGGGCCGGATGAAAGATATATTTTATTTATTTATTTTTTGTTTGTTTCTTTTGGCAGCTGGCAGTATGGGAATCCAAACCCTTGACCCTGGTGTGTCATAACACAGTGCTGTAACCAACTGTGCTAACTGGCCAGCCCCAGAGTACTTTCTTCTATACTTATCTCATTTGAGTAGGGCAGATATTATTATCCTCATTTTCACATAAGTAGACAGGCTTACAGAGATTTAATTGTTTTATGCCAGGTCAAACAACCAACAGTCAACTCAGACCCAAACCTAGGTCTTCTGGTTTTAGATCCTGGGCATTCTCTTATGTCACACAGTTATATTACATGCCCATCTAATCTTCAGAAGACCCACTCAGCCCTTGTAATATAATACATTAGTTTTAGAGAGAATCAAAGTTTTTTTCCTCTACAGTACACTAAAAATATTCCATAAAGTGAGTAGTAGTGGAAAAAAATTGTTAGGTGAGTTAATTCATATTGAGGCAGAATCTCCAAATAAAAAATGTAATCAGCCATTTTCATCACTGCTTTTCTATGTTCCACATTGTCAGTAATAATCATGTTCTCAGCAGTGTGCTAGCCCAAGTTGCCTTGGTGATTATGTTCGTTGATTTTGAGTTGTAATTTTTGTTTTGATTTTTTTTTATTTTTAATCACAAATAATAATAAGAGCTCTTGTAACATTAGGTTGTAGATGATAACTTTACTAAAAACCAATAGTATAGACAGAAGTCCTTTCTCATATACCTGCAGATTGGAAGGTGTGGTACAGAACTGTAAGGGCCTGGTATCTGCTCCCTGATGAGGTTATTTATTATTGCTGTCTGTGCCCATCTGCCTCTGACCTTGCACGGGGTGAACAGAGAAGACTGTCTCCAGAGAGAAGACCTTTATTTCCTGTTTGTTTCATGGCCTTTCCCAGGAATTCCCACTCTCTTGTTCACAGATGAGCATTGATTGTAGCTTATAAGAAATGTCCTTTTCAAGATTGCTTTTGATCCAATCTGTTCAATTTACAGATGACTCAGGAAATGCTGGCAAGGAGAAGGCAGATGAGTTAATGAATAAAGAGAAAGGACAGCCATGTTCCTTTTTCTGTATATTATGACAATAATAATGGTCTATGAAATTATATTAAAATGATTTATCTTTACTCAAGTGACAGTATAGTGCACTATTACAGACTGAAAAAGAAGCTCACTGTTTTTTAGAACAATTCTTTCCAAAGGTACTTTAAAAAAAATTCAAATGTGAGAAGAAACCAAGAATCTACCAAGGTGAAATGTTGATTTCAAGCAAATCGAAATGGTTCCTTGCCTCTGTCATTAAAGGATACTAATAGGGCATAGTTAAGTCCTATAATTTATTCTTTAAACAATGCTGGTAGCATAAGTACCCTGACTAATCATAATTATGCTCTAGAGCTTGAGCTGTACACAGAAAGGAAATGAAGCATTTAACTGTATGCCATTAAATAACAGAATGATCTTGTCTGGGTCTTTGTGTTATGTGCTAGGGATTGAAACCCTGCAGGAATCAAAATAGGAGCCCCAGTGGGTGGCTAATTTTGTCTCTTAGTTTTTCAGAGCTATATAAAAACTCCTTATAATGGGATTCTCCCCTCTCTCCAAGAGCCTTATTTATAAGCATTAATTAATTAGACCTTAGTAGTTGATATAATTATTATAAATCTAATTTTAGTTATTATAGGTCACTGCTTTCATACGTATTTTTTTCAGATTTGAAAAGCCACCTTCAGATTGGTAACAAGAGAAAAGCACAGCATAGCCAGTTTATAGATAAAGATGTAATGTTAAGTAAATACACAGATAAATTGCAGAAGTAGACTAAAATTCCCATGTTGAACCCTATTCTTCTAGTAATTTAGCAAGTATTTATTTAATCAAAATTTTTTGCTCTCCTCCTAAACTGTATTTCTTTTGCCTTTGTATATTTGTTCAACTGACTTAATATACCCCAATAGTAACCAGCTTTATAAATATTCAGAATGTGTAAAAAGTAAAAAGGATACAAAGTTTCAGTTAGGAGGAATAGAATAAGAGATCTATTATACAACATGGTGACTACAGTTAATAGCAACGTATTATACTCTTGAAAATTGCTAAGAGAGTAGATTTTAAGTGTTCTCACCACTTAAAATAAGTAAATAAGTAAAGTAAATAAGTAAAATAAATAAGCCAATACATATGTTAATTAGCTTGATTTAACATTCATGGTGTATATATATTTGAAAACAACATGTTGTACATGATAAATATATACAATTTTTATTTGTCATTAAAAAATTTTTTTAAAAAAGAGCAAAAATAAATTTAAAGTGGATATATAAGGAATGGATTAACTGATAGCAATTAGATACAAATTGCTGTGTGTCACAAAATACATTCTTACTGTGTCTGATACCTTTGGCATTCATTGATGTGTTAGCTAATTCCATTCAGCAAGTATTTTCAGCTTTGCCCAGCACAGTACTGGGGACTGTGGGTTATAAAATTATGCCTTCAAGCAACTTAGAATTAGTTGAGATGGCACTAAATGAAACAAAGTACCATAGCATTCCAGAGAAGGGGAGATTAATGATGTGTCCAGGAGACTTGGTGGAAGAAGTAGTATCAGGGACAGGCCTTAAATAGTTGACAAGATTTAGGTAAGAAAGGAAAGATTTCAAGAAGTTAAATGGTGATGGTATGATCAGCTTCTAGAACCACTAATTATGAGCATGGTGTTTGTCTGGTGTGACTATGACATTAAACTGGTTGCATTAAGGAGTAGTTAAGGGATAAATTGAATAAATAAGGGACCAATTGTGGAAACTGGGCTGTGAATGTCAAAAGAAAGGTTTTATAGTTGTTACTGTAGGTGATGAGAACCCTGGGAGAACCTTAACTTTTGAAAGTTAAAAAAAAAATTTTATTGGAACATATTAATTATACATATTTGTGGGGTATAGAGTTATATTTCTTTTCTTTTTCTTTCTTTTTTTTTTTGTGGCTGACCAGTATGGGGCTCTGAACACTTGACCTTGGTGTTATAACATTGCACTCTAACCAACTGAGCTAACTGGCAGTTGTATTTCAATGCACGCATACAATGTGTGATGAGCAAATCAGGTTAATTATCATATTCATCATTACAGAACGTAATCATTTCTTTGTAATGAAGACATTCAATCTCCTCTCTTCTAGTCACCTGGTAACATGCAGTAAATTATTGTTAATTATAAATGCCTAGCTCGACTGTACACCCTGAAAGTCAAGATTTATTTAATTAATTAATTAATTAATTTTTGATGGCTGGCCAGTACAGGGATTGTATCCTTGAAAGTTAAGATTTTGATGGTACTGTTAGCAGTGAATAAAATGGATGAAGGAAGTGGCTGAGAAAAACTAAAAGAATATAGGTCAATGAACGCATTAAATAATCTAATTTGGAGATTATTGACTAAGAATAGAAATAGGAATCAAGAAGAGAAAATACAAAAGATCCTGCAAAAGAAAGTGATTGGACAGCTATAGATAATAAAAACTGTTGCTCAAATTTGCATTAGCTCTTAAAACAATCTAAAGTCTTTACGTGGTGGTGATTACCTACTAGTGTGCCAGGAAAGTAAATTTCTGGGAAAAGGCATTAATATAAGGGGATTTGAGTATATCACAGAACTATAGTTGTAAGTTGTTAAAGGAAACATCTTATGCATTTTATTATGACTACTTGGGAACAGAAGACTTTTCTGAAATATACACTCAATTTAAAAAATTGAGTGCTGGTCAAGTATGGATGCCTTTCTCTTAGAGATAAAATATCTAATCAGAAGTGTAGTTATCTAGAAATAGTTAGCAAAAGTGTTTCATTTTCAGGGCCAGCCCGTGGCTCACTTGGGAGAGTGTGGTGCTCATAACACCAAGTCAAGGGTTAAGATCCCCTTACCATTCATCTTTAAAAAAAAAAAAAAGTGTTTCACTTTTATTTAAATGAAACATGAAAGAAAACCACTAAGAGTTATACAGCTAGCATGTCTAACTTGGAAATCAGAGGAAAGAATTTATGAAATTTTATGTAATCAAATATTTTTTTAACCACGGCTTCATTTTGTAGATATTATAGACATCTGTATGTGCCTAGCTGGAAAAAAAAGGAATTGAACCTTTTAAAAAGTAGGTTTTAGCTTATGAGAACAAGGTGAACTTCTAAAGGTTGTGTAATCTAGTTATATAACTTTAACAAGCATGTGCATGTCATTAACAACTTTTGTGTCCTAAGTTAACAAATATATTTTTCTCCCTGTGTCACTTTATCTTAATGTAAATTGAGAAACCTAATCTTTTTCATTTTTTTTCACAATTGCTTCTCTCCTCATGATTGTAGCTGTTCTTTTTTTATCTTTCTTTTTCAACTTCAAATCAAATATGAGTCAGCCTTTGTATGCATTAGATTAGATAATTTCAGGACCCATTGCCAAAAATGTGCCTAGAAACCAGGTTGTTTGCTACAAGGCTCTAAGTTGCCCTATAACAACCCAAGGTCAGGCCACCAACCCTCATGTCCACCAAAAAGGTGCTGGAAGTCAGAACCAACCCATTCACCTCCCTCCAAGGAAACACATCTTATTCTCAAACCCTTGAACAATCCCTTAAATCATCCACAAATTATAGCACACATACTTTGTGTATATTGTACCATTTCTCATAAATCTAACACAGCCTGATTTTTTCTCTCACATTGTTGTTCTTTAAAGAACAACAGGTGAAATAGTTAGTTTGCTCTAGAGAACATGCTGTATGGAAAAAAATGAAGCTGTTTTCCCTAAAGAATGCAGTTGAACTTGCATTAGTTAAATGTGCATTGATGTGGCTCCACTGTATTCTCCTCCCAAACATTTCTTAGATCCATCTTTCTATCCCTACTTCTTTAGCATCTTCACTGATCTTCTCTGAAGGCATTCATTTCCTTTCGTTCACCTCAAATGGAGTCTGTTCATTTTCCCATAGCCTGCATACCATGCATGCACTGGCAGATAGGACTGGCCTCATAGCTATCTGCTGCCACTGCTAGGCTGTTACGCTCTGCTCAGTTGTTAAAAAACAACTCTGCGGATCACGCTGTCTGGTAGACTGCTCATCCTCATTGCTGTCATCTGCTGACCTCATTCATTGAAGACTTTAATAATCATCTGACTGTCATCTCCTTTATCCCAAGTTTTACCATTATCTTTTTTGACTTTAACATCCTTGTGAACAACCCATCAGATGCTCTGCCCACTCAGTTCCTTGACATCCTAATCTCCAGTGGAAAACTCCTTTCGTCCATTTCAGCCACCAATTCCCATGGCCACATTCTGGACCTAGTCATGTACAAAATTCAGGAGCTCACCATCTGACTTGCTCTGAACTCCTGAACTTTGAAGTGCACTTAGCTCTTGGACTTCGCGTGGGCCTCCAGTTTCTGGCCCCCTGCCCTCTGTCACCCATCTCCCACCTTCACTCCTTCCCCCATACAGCGTGCACTCATCACTTCAGTGCTCATTCTTGAGTTCCTTGTCTCCTGTTCTCTCCTCAGTCCTCTGTAGTCTGATTTCTGCCTCACCACTCCAATGGAACTGTTCTCTCCCTGGGTACCAACAACCACCTTGCCGCTGTTACTACTGAAACGTTTAGTTTGTTACTATCTTTTTACTTTGAATCGTTTCTTTTAAAAATTCTACAATTCTGCCCTTTTTTAGAGACGAATTTTAGCCCCTAGACATTAAGAATTAGTGAGGTTTTACTAAAAATAATTTGTAAAGTTGATTATCATCTTATCAGCTAGATGATATTTAATGTTTTTCTTCTTTTTCAGCTTTATTACTAAAATTTGCTTTTCCAAAAATAGGCTAATGAGGTCATTTGGAATTATTTAGGTTAATTTACAATATGCTATAATGAAGCACAAAAAAATGTTATATGTATAATATATATTTCTGTGGTAATCATTTTAAAATCAGTGTAATTTTTATTTTGCAGTTGAAGCTTTATATCAAACTACATACCCAGAATATCTGCAGTACATTTATTTGGTGGCACCAATATCTCTTATGATGTTAAACCCTATAGGGTTTATCTTCTGTGAAATCCAGAAGTGGAAAGACACTCAAAGTGCTTCTCAAAACAAAGTAAAAATTGTGGGACTTGGATTTCTGCGTGTATTACAGAACCCGATAGTATTTATGGTCTTCATTGGCATTGCTTTCAATTTTGTTCTTGATCGAAAGGTGCCTGTATATATAGAAAATTTTCTTGATGGACTCGGAAATTCTTTTTCTGGATCAGCCCTATTTTATCTTGGTCTTACAATGGTAGGAAAAATAAAGAAACTGAAGAAGTCAGCATTTGTTGTACTAATTCTTCTCATCACAGCTAAACTGTAAGTTTTACTTATTTAACTTGGGAACTGTACTTTGTGAAAACCTTGTTTAGCCAGTTCACTGGGGTGTGTCTCCAACTATTTTCTCCTTTGAATATTAATAATCTCTTTATAGAGTAGTTGTGATGTAAAGGAAAATGTGATGTTGGTGTATCGTGAAAAGTCATTTTCTTATTCCATTTAGGTTATTCTTTCCACTTTACTGTCAGAGTATAACGACTATTGGTTTTCCTTCAGCTTTTACATAAAGTTTACTTATTATCTCCTAATGTTCCGTTTGATCATATTTTTAAAGAAATTTTGCAGGATTTCTAAGTTTTCTAAATCCATTAAAATCCAAATGTCAAAAAATCTTAGTCATAATGAGAAGAATAATTTTAATATAAACTTTTTTCATGAATTTTGGGAAAATATTCTGTAATTCTAAAGTTGGTTAAACTTTCTAAATATAGGTAAGTCAAATATCAATGAATATTATCAACCATCTGATCCTAGCCTGTCAAATAAAAAGTTCTTATCAGCTCCTTGGTTAGCAGTTCTTCAGCTTACTTGGCTCATGAAAAGAGAGCCCCATTTGCTCAGCTACTGTTGATATGCTCTTTCTGTGCAATCGTGAAGGATTTATTTAATAATCGACTCTTTACCAGGTCTGGATTTCACTAATTTTTCTGCTCCATCTCAGTTGTCTCAGTCGCTCAGCTACTGTTGATATGCTCTTTCTGTGCAATCGTGAAGGATTTGTTTAAAAATCGACTCTTTACCAGGTCTGGATTTCACTAATTTTTCTGCTCCATCTCAGTTGTCTCAGTTCCCTTTGCTAAATCTTTTTGCCTTTACAAAGATGAAAAGCTAATTGTGAATTACCTATTTTTCTATGGGTTTTTAGAATCTCATTGAGCAGCAGTATTATCATTAATGGAACCAATTAAACCTCTAATCATAGTAAAATTCAGCTTTTTTTTAATCAAAAAAGAGTTAAGTAATTTTCTTAAAATAAGTTTTTACTCAGATTATCAACCTTTTTTTCTTTTAACATTTCAATGAATCAATAGAGGAAGCAAGAAAACAGCTAAAATCGCAACTTTTACCAATTTTTTGCAAGAAAATTATTTGTAGAACAACAGCAAAAAATCTAAGTTTTTTCTCCTAATTGTTGATGTTTGAAGTATGTCCAGAAGGATATCATTGCACTTTAAATGATTCCAAGTTGAATTCTTTATTCTTTCAACAAAATGTCCACAAGTAGGCATGCACAGAATATGTGCGTGCAAATAGACATACCTTCTGGGCAGAAGAAGGACCTAATGCCAAGTTCACTAGAGCAGTCTACTACTTGGGGACCAGCATGCTTTGGTATCAAGTAAATGATGCATCTCTTCTTTCTTCAGCCTGGTGCTGCCACTTCTGTGCAGAGAAATGGTGGAACTCTTGGACAAGGGTGACAGTGTAGTGAACCATACAAGTTTATCGAATTATGCATTTTTGTATGGTGTCTTTCCTGTAGCACCAGGAGTGGCTATCTTTGCAACACAGTTCAACATGGAAGTAGAGATTGTATGTATATATTGCTTTCTAAGTTTGATTGTTTGTGTGGTTAGCAGTAGTTTTTAAAACACAGAAAGCAACATTGTTTTTATGAGAATTTGATGTCTATAAACTACTTAATTATAAGTAAGGAGGCATTGTGTAACATCATGTAATAATAGTTATTTAATCTGGGATTTTTATTATTTAATCTGGGATTTTTATTCAGCCATGACTTTTTTCTTTAGTCTTTTTTTTAGTTTCAAGTATTTTATTTTATACTTATACTTAAGCCTAAAAAATATTTGTAGAAGGGTGACTTTTGACAGGAAAAAAAATCTATTTCATTCATTGATAATTCAACAACCAGATGCAAAATATGACATAATCAACTGCAGCAAACAGCTAAAATCAATTAACACCAAAGTACTTACAGTGTTTAAGTGTATTGTACATGTTACGTATAGCATTAAATGATTTTGAAATATAATACAAAGGAACTAAATTGTTTAATGAAGGTCAGTTCTATTATTTAAACTGTAAAATGTGCATGGTAATTTTTCTCCTTTTGATTTGCTTTTTTTGCCCTGTATTTTATGAAATCATATTGAAGGAAACTGTTCAGAGGTTTAATTTGATCATTGATATGGCTTGCTTTCTAGAACCTAGAAGATGACTATCAACAGTAGAATTTCTAGTATTTATGTGTAAATATGAATTGAGCATAGTTTGGAAGAGGAGCCAAGGGAACTTGACTGTGTGTTTTTAAGGACTCTCAGAAAGGGGAAATATGGTATTGGATATAACATGCTGGATTTTACAATGTCTGCACTGACTCTTGTTTTTATTTTAGAATGCTTTAGTGCATTGTGGGTATTTAAAGATTAACGTAATTGTTTAGGTGAGATTGTGACTCCTCAATTTGATTTCATTTTTTCAGGTAACCTCAGGGATGGTAATAAGCACATTTGTGTCTGCTCCGATCATGTACGTTTCTGCCTGGTTACTGACCTTTCCCTCCATGGACCCTAAGCCATTGGCATATGCCATCCAGAATGTTAGTTTTGATATAAGTATTATCAGCTTGGTCTCCTTGGTAAGTATGTTTCAGTGTAAAAATGAATGGAAACCACAGAATGCGTTTGAGAATAGCTTGGTAATATAAAGGTATTTTAAAATCTAGTTTCTTAAGAAATAGAGAAAACTAAAGCTGCCCATAAAATATCAGCCTTCTGATTAACTGAGGTTTGTCTTTCCAGTTGGGAATTAGAGTTATATAGTGGACAAGGCATGAGATATAGTCAGACCTGGTGTTTTAGCCCGTTTCTGTTGCTTATAACAGAGTACCTAAAACTGGGTAATTTATAAAAAAATGAAAATTATTTCTTACAGTTTTGAAGGCTGGAAAGTCTGTAGTCCAGGGGGCGCATCTGATGAGATCCTTCTGGGTTGAAACTCTCTACAGGGTTCCACAGCAATTAGGGTATCATATGTCTATAGTGGCCAGAGAGCTCTTTCATGTGCTCCTTATAAAGCCACCAGTCCATACTCATGATAATCCATTTACGATGACATAATCCTCATGATCCAGTCGCCTCTCAAAGGCTCCACAATTCAAATATCATAATTGGATTTCCCACCTTCTTAAAACTGTTACAGAAGGGATTGAATTTCTAACACATGAGCTTTGGGGGGGATACATTTGACCCATAGCACCTGGATTTGACTCCTAGCACTATCACAAACTAGCTGTATGTCTCTGTGGAGTTTTCTTAACCTCTCTAAGCTTCCATTTTCTCATCTATAAAATAAAGATAATAATCTCACCTATTTCCATGGGTTTCTTAAGGATTAAATGAGATAATACATGTGAAAAGCATTCTGTGAAAGATGAAACACTATACAAATACTAGCTGTTATAGAATCATGGGGTCAGAAGGGATCTTTGGGATCAAGTCCAATCATCCAATTAATGTTAATGAAATTTTAGGTTATTTCTCAAATTGGATAGATCTAGCTCAAATTAAATAATTAAGTATTTGACAACTAGAGTATTTTATGACCTTGGTATTACCAGCACCACGTTCTCTGAAGTGAGCCAACCAGCCAGCCTAGAGTATTTTGTAGATTGTGTTTCCTATTGAATTCAAACTGGCTGGGGCGGGGGCAACAATGTTTACCATTAAAAGAAAGGAGGTGGAGACAAATATGTATATTAGCAACATGAAAATGAGTGATTAATGTACTTATTAAGAAATTCCACTTCTGTCAGGTATTCTTAAAATCTATGCGCATTGATAAGAGGGTAGTTTGGGGGGAGAGACTACATAAATTTCAATTGGCAATGAGGGGAGAAAGAAGGAAATCAACCTGCATACTTACCCAGCCACTGTGTAGGTGGACTAGAAACCCAATCCTTTTAAATATGAGGAATGTAAGACAATTAATCTTAGGGTGGGTGGTATGTGTTGTTTGAAGTAAGACAGCCTGGAATTTAGATACTTCATGAGCCAATAAGGTGGAAATGGAAAAGGAAAAACTTGGAATAGTGCACTGTAACTGCATCTCCCGCTAAAGCTCCCTTCCTGTGTCTCACCCCAGCCATTGAAGGGAAAGCATAATTAGAACAAGGCCCTGGTCAAGGCATTACTTTTTTTTCCCCTTTACCCAAACATAGATGCACTGGATGGGTTACTTCTTAAAGACCCTGTAATTTCTGGACAGTTAATTTACTATGAGATCTCTCCATGCTTTTTATTTTACTTTGAATATAATAATTTATCTTAATACCTTTTTTGGAACTAGACAGGTTAAAGTAAATAAAACATTGGAATTCCTTTCTGAACCAGGATAGAGAGGATTCTTTAAGGAGGCTAATCTATGTGTTATTTAATAAGTAAGTATAAAGATTAAGAAACATGAATAACTTTTGAACTTTTTGTCTTCAAGATCTGGTCTCTGGCTATTCTTCTTTTGAGTAAGAAATATAAACAGCTTCCTCATATGCTTACAACTAACTTACTCATTGCTCAGGTTAGTAAACCTACAGATATTTAAAACTATGCTTTTCTAGTGGATTATTCTCCTACAGTAACATTTTTTTTTTTTTGGTGGCTGGCCTGTACAGGGATCTGAAACTGTGATCTTGGTGTTATAAGGCTGTGCTCTAACCAACTGAGCTAACCAGCCAGCCCAGATTATTCTACTATAGAGGAGAAAATTACCTTGCTAGGTTTTTCCAGTTATAAAGTCAGAAGTATTACCAAATTAAAATTTAATTATTATTAGTTGATTTCTAAATATTTAAATATTTATATATTAATTAATTTAGATATTTAAATATTGCAGTAGGTCTTGAACTATCTAAAGTTGAGGCTAATCATGGCATTTGATGATAAGTTTGCATTTTTTAATAGAAGTAATTGAGTAATTAAAACTTGAACTCTGTTACAATCTTCTTTTTCTAGTTAAATCTTTGCATGTCTCATAATAGAAATAAGTTTAGCATTTTCTATATAAACCATTACTAAATATAAGGTTCATATTTAGGACGCAGTCATTATCTATTTCAATTGGATATGTACATTGATAAAGGCTCTGTATGAAAAAGGTTTTCTATTACAAAGTTTGAAGTTTTAATATAACTAGTATGCAAAATAGTTGATAACTACTCAGCAGTAATTTAAAATGAATACTTACATTTGTCGTGAATAAAACCAATGTGGGTATGACTGGCTTAATTGTTATTTTCTGTGATAGTATTGAATCATATCATTTTCGTAGCTATTTACAAAGTCTTTTAATACTTTTTTTTTCTTTAGTCTATTGTCTGTGCTGGAATGATGGTATGGAATTTTGTTAAAGAAAAAAATTTTGTTGGACAAATTTTGGTGTTTGTTCTATTGTATAGCTCCCTCTATAGCACCTACCTGTGGACAGGTAAGTTGGATTTGTGAGTGGAAATTGAGGTCTATTCCCCTCTCCCCCATCCTAGAAGCCCTCAGCTTTCTAATGGTCTATTTGAAGTCTGGTAGCACAGGATGGAGGTATTCACTTAGGCAGTTATGCCCACCAGCATAGGCTGTCTGCAAAACTGAGTTCTGTTTACTGATGTACTCTTTCTGCCTGGGCTCACGGCCTTTTTTAGTCACATGGTTCTTGTCCTCATTGTCTTCAGCTCTAGGTCTCTGTCAGCACAACTCCCCTTTGGAGATATCAAGAGGGCAGGTATAGGAGGCAGATGGAGAAAGGAGGGAATGGGCAGAGATGTGTGAGGTGTGACCTAGAGCTCACTGTTAGAGTCCAACTACACTGCAACATTCTGGCTCTGCCTTAAGCAAATTACTTAACTGAAGCCTCAGTTTCCTCATCTGTAAAACTTGTGAGTTATTTTGAAGATGAAATGAAATATGGGTATTTATGTCTGATACATGGTAGGTACTCAACAAATAGAACCATAATAGTTATTGAATAGAGGGAAAAGAGATAATATGGGAACAAGAAAAGTAGGGAAATAAAAGGGTATGGAAAGAGAAGAGAACCCAGTAAGAAAGACTTTTTCTCATTTCAGCTGGCTTCAAAAGTGATATTCAGAATGTTTTAGCACATTGCTGTTCTGAAGTATAACATTTATTTGTATGCATACATCTGGCATGTTTATGAACAATTTTGTCTGGCTGTTTTTTATTCTTACCCCTCATTTGAACCTGAAAAGTGGCATATAAAAGGAAATTGTAGAATGGTAGGAGACAAGTGTCAGGAAGTGGCTGCAAAGGACAGACCTTTGATTTCATGCCTTTAGGATCAAAAGCAGGTCCCATCTAAGTCAACAACCTTTTGAAGTGAAGCAACGATGTAGGGAGGAATCACAGAATGAAAAGTTCAGTGCAAACAGAAGATGGTTGTGCTTCTTAAAGGAAAGGACACCTTTCATAGCATAGAGTTTCATGAGAGATGGCAAGTTAAAACAGCCTAAAGACATTTTATTTCCAAAATAGACGGACAACTTGATCTCTAATACGTAGTTTTATTTGGGTTAGATTTTTAATGAGAATAAGAAAGCAAATAAATCAAGGTATTAAAAAGCCCCAAGTCTCTCTGAAACCCTCTCCAAGCATGCATGCCAAAATCTATCCAAAGAAGTTCCGAATTCCCTAACCCCAATGAAGTTGCCCTTTAACCTTCATATTATTCCTAAAAGTGTTATCTTTTTTTTTTTGGCAGCTGGCTGCTATGAGGATTCAAACCCATGACTTTGGTGTTATAAGGCTGCACTCTTAAAGTGTTATTTTAAATAATCCTATTTAGCCGTTTTCAATTTCTTCTATTTGCATGCCATCCTCACAATTTTTGCTATATCTGTGTATCCCTTCTTTTTTTCCTTAAAATTGACTCACTTTTTTATACTTTAATCAATTGAGACTTATATCAATACAATTCCAGTTTTCACATGCTAATTAAAAATTTTCAGATGCATAACTACTGCAAAAAATGTTTACCTTTGTGCCACATAGATTCTCTACACTTTAGAAAGCACTAGTCTCGTTTAAATCCTTCATTTTAGGGCCGGCCCATGGCTCACTTGGGAGATTGTGGTGCTGATAACACTAAGGCCATGGGTTTGGATCCCTACATAGGATGGCCGGTTAGCTCACTTGGGAGAGCGTGGTGCTGACAACATCGAGTCAAGGGTTAAGATCCCCTTACCAGTAATC